TGAGGACGGCTTAGGTACGCACGAAGTAAAACCTGTGCCACTGCCAATGATTTACGTTGCGGTGTCTCAGTGGAACCATTCGTCTCTTTCGCGATGACGTAGACTTTTCAAACTGAGCGCGTCACACACAGTATCTGTCACGGCCTGTAATTCACTGGAAACGCAGGTTGATCCCATTCGCAAGTGAGCAGCACCGACTCACCGCTGTCAATGAGGCTGTCAAAAGATTTGGCGACCACGCCGGTTCTTAAGTCTTAATGCACGACTTAAGCCTGGCATGCTTCCTGTGGCCGCGTATCCGCTCGGGCGTGAAGTAAAACGTGCACTCGGCTGGGACCCTGATGAATGTCATTCAAATGAGGGCTTTGAAGTCCGCGTTTTTTTCCAAAATGTTCCGGACCTGCCACCGTCACATTTACCTGAGATTCTCAGTTGTGCTGGCTGTATGACTCGGCACTGCTGAATTCAGATAAGGTGCTTGCTTTATTTACATGAGTTAAATTTCACTCGGCTTATTTAGAATGTTTATATACCAAACTGTCCAGAGCCCCGAAATACTCATAGGTTCTCCTGGAATTACATGTTCGAGAAACAACGCTGCTTTTTGTTTTTAACGAAGCAACGGGTTTGGTTAACATGGTGTGTTTTGGTTTCTATAGAGCTCGCCGTTCTTGCCACGGGTTGTCTGTGCCTTCCATGTCGCCTTACATGCCGGATACACTGCATCAAATGCACTTGGTTCCCGGCAAGGAACATTATATATGATGTAAATATATGTATGTAAGCATTGCCACTAATCGGCCAAACTTAAACTGAACATCATTAGACGGGTAACAACATCAACTTCGGCCCGTTCAAGCCATGTTTTGTGAAGAAATACCGGGGATCGGGACTTGCGGGCATGGGTTAACTACTCGGAACCTCAGATAAAGCTCGCCATCTTGTGACTGATGCCCGTGACACTAGTGAAGGCACATTCAGGAGTGTTCCTCTCTCGGCGGAAGATAGGCATGCAGAAGCGGCACCGTCAGGTGCACCCGTTGTGTACCACTGATGGGCGCGGACAGGGGGCGTCGCTAAGGACGTCTGTCGACTCGACCAGTCCCTGCCGAGCCTCGCCCAGTGCCCAGCACTAGGTGACGGCGTGGGACCTATGACGTATGCCGTAGTGAAGAATGGAGGCTACTTTCCTGTTACAGTCTACCTCTGGTTCACTATGCTAGGGGGGCGGCGTCGGTCTGGTCAGCCGTTCCCTCCTGTCCAGTGGTTTTGTCGCGCCGTTACAGATGTGAGACGTGTGCATCATCTACCTTCTGCCGGCCCTGATACTTAGCTGGAACCTCACTGTCGGCAGAGTTGGGCTAACTGTAGGTACACAGAGATGCGCCGAAACATCGTGTACCTCGCGGGACGTCCTGCGCTCGTCCGATGTGTACCTACCGAACGGTTTGGGTTTGTACCGCATCCATACATGGTTAGGGCCCAAATCCAGGCTTCCTGCAAGATGTCAGGACGATTAACGTTACCTTATATGTACACGAGATGTGCCAGCCTTATTAATCATCGGCATGGTATGGCTTATCCTATTCCGTTGTAGCGGCTTAGTTCCTGGACCGCTGGCTCCAAATCGTGGCTCGCGTTGTTTAACGGTCGCCTGGCATCGGATGATATGTACCTAACCTGCATCCAGCTCGTATGAAGCATGCTGGTTATATCGAACGGTGCGCTGAAGCAGCCTGTCGTGCATCTTCCCGTGCGGTGAGGGAGCGCGTCTCGGTGAGCGGCTCGTGACCGGGCCGTGAGAGCAGCGTCCGCGCCGCCGCGGCCGGGCTGGTCACGTGCTCGCCGGCGACTCGTGACCGGGCCGTGAGAGCAGTGTCCGCGCCGCCGCGGCCCGGCTGGTCACGTGCTTGCCGGCCGGTCGGCAGCCCGCCGGGGATGGGGCCGCGGAGCTCGGCAGATGTCGGTCTAGGTCGCCAGACGTCTGGCGGTCGGACGCTGCGCCGGCCGCCGCCGGAGCGTCGCTCTGGGGCCTGACGGACTCGTCAGCGGGCGTCTGTCGACCGCGCCAGCCTGGCTGACACTACGCCTCAGGTGCTGGTGGACGTGTGATCTTACTCGGTTTGGGGTGCGATTGTGCCGTCGGCGTCTAGAAAACTGTCGAGCGAGATGGGGTCGGTTCAGCGGGGGCTCCGCTGTCTGACTCACTTCTGCAGAAGGCGTGTTCGTGGCCCTTGTAGCCAGCATGTCGGACTTGAGCATCGCTGACGTGTTCTCCATGTAAGACATTAAGACACTGCACCTGAGGGTCTTTTAGAGGTTCTTTTGACATAAACAAGACATTGGCCACCTTGAATCTCATTGCCAGCGTATCACATGACCTTTGGGTAGGTTAAAGTAAAGCACTCTTGGAGCCTTTCATGTATGAGTAAACAAGCCATGTGCGTGTTGTTATTGCATTGTCAATGCAATGGATGCATCGAGTGTATTATTACAGGGACAGGTCATTTAGCGCTGACGGGTCTGTGAAGGTGTATGGTGTAATGAGCATATTGATGATGCCTTTCAACAATCAGCACATTAAGACGAACATGCGAAAAGTTTTAAAACCATATCGGACGTTATTAAATGTCACCGTCATTTATCAGACGCTCCGCGTGTCGCGAGTTTGCGTCTGTTTGACAGGCACGTTGTCGGCGCGGGCCAGCCTCCCGACACGCTCAAACAAATGACCGTTTTATGCTAATGCCACTCGGACATCAGCATACCTGGACCTGGTGCGCCGTCACGACCGGGGCCCGTGTGTGGCATTGGTGTTGTTGGCAACCGCCGGCGGCTACCCCTCCCAGGACGGGCCGACTGCGCCCACCCGCTTTACGGCGCTCCCACCCCTCCCGCCGTTAGTCGGGCGTCACGCCCGCGCCACGGGGCGACGGTCTCGGGGCGCTGTCTTGCCGACGTCAGGGGAGGGGAGGGCTGTCATCGTGCGGCTGCTTGGCGAGCAGAGGCGGGAGTGGGACGAGCTTGACAACAGCCGACGCCATTCGAGTCAGCTCGACCCTGGCACCTATTCCGCAGAGACAACTCTGGGTCCTGACTCGCGGCGGGCGGGGGAAAGTCAGTTGGGTGATTGCCTGGACAAGGTATGACTCTTCGCCATAAACTTTCCGAAAAGCGAGGATTAACGCGGGGGGGGGGCGTAAACGGCGCTTGTCCCCAGGTGGGTCCTCGTTCCACGATCCGTTTATCCAGCCGCCCGCTGTCAGCCTGACCGGGGCACCCCCGTCCGCAGCCCAGCCGAAATACATCGGCCGTCCACCTGACCGGGGCACCCCCGTCCGCAGCCCAGCCGAAATACACCGGCCGTCCGCCTCACCGGGTACCCCTGTCCGCAGCCCAGCCGAAATACATCGGCCGTCCACCTAACCGGGGCACCCCCGTCCGCAGCCCAGCCGAAATACACCGGCCGTCCGCCTCACCGGGTTACCCCTGTCCGCAAGCCCAGCCGAAATACATCGGCCCGTCCACCTAACCGGGGCACCCCCGTCCGCAGCCCAGCCGAAATACACCGGCCGTCCGCCTCACCGGGTACCCCTGTCCGCAGCCCAGCCGAAATACACCGGCCGTCCACCTGACCGGGGCACCCCCGTCCGCAGCCCAGCCGAAATACACCGGCCGTCCGCCTCACCGGGTACCCCTGTCCGCAGCCCAGCCGAAATACATCGGCGAGCTGCGCGGCCATGCTGCCGGCAAGATGTACGCCTACGACAGCAAGTTCGCGTCCACGCTGTACTCGGCGGACGGCGAGCACTGGCAGGTGGCCGGGGCTGCGGACGTGCCGGCCGTCCTGGACCCCGTCATGGTGGTCAAGGGCAGCACGGCCGCCGACACGGTACCCATCGACCAGGGCGGCTGGGAAGGTACGGAGTCGGCTGAGGTCGGACGGTACTGGCACCGGTGCGGTGTGAGGGTGTGGTACGCTGCGGTGCGGTGTGAGGGTGTGGTGCGTTGTGGTACGGTGTGAGGGTGTGGTACGCTGCGGTTGTACTGTCGGCAATCGGTGGTGGGACTATGCCGTTACAAGGTCCAAATAGCAGGGACGGCCCGCAGACAAAACTGGATTGGTATGTGAGTTGTACTCTTCTAAGCCATGACTTGATGCGGTAAGCTTAATTGTATTATGTTAGTGGTCGTCTAATGATGCCGCAGATTGGTTTAAAGGTAAATGGATGTAATTGGTGCACATGCTGTGCCCCTTTCGGGTAAGACGTTGAATGCAAGTGGGTGCCATTAAACACTCCGATAGGCGTTTGCGATATTCCGGGGGAGGTTGCAACTGGCAGGTAATGTGCGACTCCTACTACCGTGAGCTCACTGCGGCGCTGCACAGCTCTCGGCCCAACCGCGTGCTTCTGAATGGGAAAGTGGCGCGACGCAGCTGTCCATATTGATAGCCTGCCTGCTGTGACCTGACTCATGATTAATTCAGAGACTGCACCGTCCGACGCGCGCGCCAGATTGCGTGCTCCTTGTATGGCGGCCCGGAGAAACTGTGCCGCCCGTGGTAAGCGGGCTCTGTACGACGTGCGCCGCGGTGCCGGGCACGCACAGGGCAGGACGCGTACCGCCGGCGCTTCACGTCACCGCCCTCCGTCCGCACACGCACAGGGCAGGACGCGTACTGCCGGCGCTTGACGTCACCGCCCTCCATCCGCACACGCACAGGGCAGGACGCGTACCGCCGGCGCTTGACGTCACCGCCCTCCGTCCGCACACGCACAGGGCAGGACGCGTACTGCCGGCGCTTCACGTCACCGCCCTCCGTCCGCAGGCGACTACTACGGTCTGAAGAAGGCCGGCACCAGCGCCTACCTGGTCAAGTGGAGCAAGTGCTGCGGCAACTAGGAGTCTGCCGTCCAGATGTCCGGCCCCTGAGCAGCTTCGGGATATGACGCGGCAACGCGGGGGACCGCCGCGGACGTGCGCTAGCTTGGAGAGGATGGAGCCTGCGCTCGCCCCGCCTGTCGCCTGGCCGCCGTACTGTGCTGTGAACTTCGAGAGTCACAAGCTAGGCACGACCGCCCGCGCATCGCCGCAAAATACCAACCCACGTGCAATATCCTTATTGATCTCCATTGGCATGCCTGGGATTCGTTTAGTAGCCTCCACGTATCAGTTGCTTTTAACATTTGTTCGCGGTTCGGATCGGTTCCGTTTTGCGCCATAAACGTTGCATTGTACTGACTGAGATGTCAAAACTGTTCTCGGCGGGAGGCGTCAAAAATAGCTGTTTGGTGTTTCATGTGCATCGCTGAAGTAATGGTGCGTTGTGCATCACTTACATGCAGGCTATCATTGCATAGATCCATCATTGATGTCACATGCAAAGGGTGTCCACACTAGGCATAAGGATTTCTTTCAACCGCGTCTTCTGCCCCAAACAAGAATCTCCGGGAAGGATGACAAAACCAGTGCCTTACTGACATTTATCGATTTTTTTTTGTTGGAAAATAAATCTTAATAAATGTTGTCATCTCAGTAAGCAGCATTTTGTTCCCAAACCCTGTGGCGAGATTGTCTGGAATTGCGAGCAGGGTCGCGCATGGGTGGTATGCACGCGGAGAGTGGTTGCAGCACCGCAGTACGCAAATGACGGCAATGGTCATTACCCGGCTGATGGCAAGTGGAGCACGGCCAGCGCGGTGGAGTCGGTGCGGTGCTTGGCGATGGTGTGGCCCGGGACTGCCAGCCAGACCCTCCCCTGTTGTTTCCCGGGCGCTGTCCGGCACCTCACGGAGGGGGCTTCAGTCTGGACCGTCTGCCCAGCCGGCCTTCAGCGCCATGTTCACACATGGCCGCGTCCTGGCCGGCCACGTCCTGACCTGCAAACACGGATAACAGGCAGCATAGATCACCGCCTGGTCAACCTTAAGTCACCGAAGTTTTTAAAAAGAAATTTGAGAGGATTTGGCAAGAGTGACTTTGGTTGAGAATGGTTTTGGAAGGAACCGACAACTGCAGAGAATTTCCAGTGCGAATGTTTTGTCGGGTTTTGAACATATTTTTTAACTGCATTTGCCCTGAATCAAAGAAAAGATCCGAAATTCCGAAGGCACCTCTCTCTAAGAAATAATCCAAAAGGCGCCTTCTAGCCCTACCGCAATTCGAACAGTCGCAATGACGTCATTCTAAACCTTGTATTCTGCTGTAACGCTACGAGCCAGTGTATTGTGCGCAGTAGAATGCACCACCGCATGCTCGTGGCTGATGGAGCAAGCACTTAAGTGAAAGATTCGCAAATTTGGTGTAGCATGAACAGAAAGCTACCTGAAAAGGAGATGCCAAAGGCGAATGATTTGAGTACGCAACAATTTCCATGACCTGAGGTCAAACAATCTTTCGGTACAAGCCCAACCAGTTGCCATGAAAAACGACGAAACGGTCACCATCTGGTGGGTGACCAGCTGAGCCTTTTGATGAATTATCTAATGATCTTGTTATAGATGAGTGACATGAGCATGGCATTTCCAACGCAAACTCACATTTCTGAGCTCACACACTGAGCAAATGGGCCGGTCTCTCAACAACTGGGCTAACGGGGATGGCAAATTTCAACGCTTCAAAGACAGCCGGCTGACTTCGACCGCCAGCTGTCAGTGAAAACTTTATCTAGCTCGTTATAGCAGGCTAGGTTAAACTTACCCGCCACATACTATAACATGCGGTATGAGTGCGCTTCGTATGCTCCATCTACCTGTTTGAATGAAGACTGGAGAGGCATCGAGGTTCGTGCACATTCGGCACCGTCGCCGGGGTTTCCTGTACTCTCCGTGGTATCCCAGCATCGCATCCTGTCACATTTCATTTGATCTCATCACACGAACTCACCATGACATGAGCCTGCTCTGCACGCACTGACGTGAGCTGGGTTTGTGTATATCCATATATATATACATATATATATATATATCTCTCTCTCTCTCTCTCTCCCCTCTCTCTCTCTCTCTCTCTCTCTCTATCTCTCTCTCTCTCTCTCTCCTCTCTCTCTCTCTCTCTC